ATATTACACATGCTAAAATTAGCCAAGTGCTCTGAGACTTTTACCAGAAACTCTATCCCTCAGAAATGCAGGCTACAGAGCAAGAAATGTTGAAGTTACTGGTAGGAGTGCTTTTTCTTGACTGCCAGAGAGAAGACCTGAAAGAAAAAAAAAGCTGGCACACTAAGGCTTCGTCTACACTAACCCCCCAATTCGAACTAAGGTACGCAACTTCAGCTACGTGAATAACACAGCTGAAGTTCGAAGTACCTTAGTTCGAACTTACCTCGGTCCAGACGTGGCAGGCAGGCTCCCCCGTCGACTCCGTGGTACTCCTCTCGCCGAGCAGGAGTACCGCAGTCGACGGCGAGCACTTCCGGGTTCGACTTATCGCGTCCAGACAAGACGCGATAAGTCGAACCCAGAAGTTCGATTGCTTGCCGCCGAACTAGCGGCTGGGTATAGACGTACCCTAAGACCCCTTCTTGCCTCTCATTTGATTGCTACAAAGTTACTTTGAGAACAAATAGCCACCCTACTACCCACAAGGCTCTCCCTACCAAGCCCAGGACTCTTCCAGGGGGTCCTAAAAGGTCCAGATGTCACAGAAGCAACAGAAAGAGCCAGAAGGAAGAACTCAGCATGCCAGGTCCTAATCTTGGCCCACACTATACCACCTTCCCTACCACCAACAGTTCATAACATCTAGTCCCATTGACGGAATTTCTAGAATGAGTGATAAAACTCTTCTCTAACACCTTACTGTTTCCATAACTTGAATGCTCTTTTCCACTGCCCAGACTCACTCACACCTGCCCACAATTCATCTTACCAATCTCATATCCTTCTGTCCTTCATCCTCTTGTCCCTCTTTCCTATCCATACACTTGACATTCCCGTACGCTCCCATTAGGGTGACCAGATGTCCAGATTTTATAGGGACAATCCCGATTTTTGGGTCTTTTTCTTATATAGGCTCCTATTACCCTCCACCCCGTCCCAATTTTTCACATTTGCTGTCTGGTCACCCTACCTCCCATCCAACCTCTCTCTATCCTCTTTCTCCGTTCCATCTCATCGCTGTCTCATTTCTCACGGTTTTGCACATGCCCCTCCCTGTCACAAACTTTACTTCAATGCTCCTCTTCAAGCTCCATCCTCAGAATAACCCAATTTCTATCAATAATTTTAATTAATATGTAAAAAAGTTAAATATATGGAACCTTTGAGAAGTGTGCAGACCTAATGTATTCTTCATGGTCAACCACATATTCTTAATGTTCAACTTTTGTCATCATCCTGGCTGCACACCGGATTCTGCAAGCAAGCTCCAGAACAACATTCACATAAGTAGTCCCACTGATTTTAAAGAGTGCTGATATAAAAAAAAGTAGCCATGGAAGGCTGAGGAGGGACCTGGTGGGAAAGATGAAGCACACTCACTGTCCTCTCAGCCCAAGGAGGGAAAAAAGGTCAGGTAGCTTTGAGTCCAGCTACAGGAAAGGAAGAAAGCAGGAACTGTGAAGATACCAGTTTGCTTCCACAAAAGGACCAGATTGCTTACAAGTGACTTTATAAGTAAAATACTGTTCCACTAGCTGGAGCAAGCTTCTTTTATTTATTTATTTTCCATTATATTCCTTTTTCTGGGCCATACTGAGGAATTATATGCACAGAGATGCCTTTACCTTATAGTGGCAATATCTGATTTCTTTTTATCTTTATTTTTCCTATTCCATTCCTGTTACCCAAGAGATATGGCCCCAGCCTACACTTGTACAAAGCTGTTTTCAGATGTATATAGAGCAATGTTTAAACACTTATAAATATAAGCTGAGTTGTTGCTGACCCCTGAGTGTGCTGCTGCAGTTGCTGAGCTGAGCCAGAGATGGGAGGACACAGAAGGGTAGGTACTTGACCAGAGAGGAATGTTCTGGAGCAGGAGTGTGGGGGGGGGGGGACACAGAGGGGGGGGAGAGGGAGGAGGACTAGATAGAGGAGAGAGCTAGGGGCCATCGAGGGATGATAGAACCATGCTCCCCAGTCTCAGAATGCGGGAGGCTTTGGATGAGAGTATGTAGAGGAGCCTGGGGAGACGTGAAAGGTGTGAAATGAAGTGAAAGGGACCAGTGAAGCAGAGACCTTCTCTCCCCCATACCCCAGCCAAGTATATCTCCCTCCCCACCCAAAGGAAGCCCACTTTAATGGGTCTCATAAGTTCTGTTGGAGCATGGCTTCCCTTGAGTCTTTGTTAACTCGTTTTAAACGGAACAACAAAGATTCCATACTTTTAAAAAAGTTACAGTTAATGGTTCCAGCCAGTTCCTCACTGCCATACAATCCTTCAGTCTTATTAAATTTTGTAATACAATAGCTCCTTAAGGGCCCAGTCAGGAACAGGCTCTGTTGTGCTGGGTGCTGTACAACCACAAGCCAACATGATTCCTGGCCAACTCAATATCACACATCAAACATTAACTTAACCTTCCTGACTTGTTCTGTAATGGAAACACACTGTTGGGTGTATACTGTTGAATTTATGTATTGTTGATTAATGTGCAGTAAAGATTTCAAAAGGAATCAAGTTCCAGGGCTCATTAAACTATGTGGTTCTAGAAGTCCGCTCGGTGTAGTATGTTGGCAGAGTAGTAGATATTTTTATTACTAGAACTGGAATCAATGATCTATTTCATGTTATGAAGCATATTAATTGCATGGTGCAGTAGGTTTATACACATGTATTTAGGCCTTGCAAGTTTGTATCACACAATATAATAAAAATATTTAAATACACCTCTACCCCGATATAACGCGACTCGATATAACACGAATTCTGATATAACGCGGTAAAGCAGCGTTCCGGGGGGGGGGGGGGGGGGGGGGGGGAGGGGAGGAGGGGGGCTGTGCGCTCCGGCAGATCAAAGCAAGTTCGATATAACACGGTTTCACTTATAATGCAGTAAGATTTTTTGGCTCCCGAGGACAGCATTATATCGGGGTAGAGGTGTACCAACAAATGTTAGTTTTTGGTAGCAAATAGTGTAGCATATGTTATAGTGGATTGGAAATGGAAATCCCTTGAGTAGAAAGTGACATTTTCTAATCAAGGAGGATTTTATAACCTAAGTTTGTAATCACCCCCTTCCTTAAGCCTGTGTGTGTGTGTAGCTCCAAAGAACTTGTGCAGAGGGGGTAATATGTTTGTGGGTAGTGGAGAGGAGGAAGAGGAACAGATGGTGAAGTCTGGTCTGTTTATAGTGGAAGTGGGTGGAAATTGAGGAAGGAGGTGCTGGAAAACCGGGGCATTACTACAAGGCAGAGATAAGGTTGTGATACATTATCAATAATGTATGGTGACTGTGTTGGTGGCAAGGTGAGCCTATGGACGGGGAAGCAGAGGTATTTACTGTTGGTAGACTTAACTTATTTCCTTACTTTTTAGGTTTTGTACTAGGTATATTATATAGAGAGCAAACTTAAATGACATATAATCTAGCGTCTGTGTATTGTATTTGAGTGCAAGAGCTGGTCCAGTGACTATTCCTCTGATATGCAGCTTTCTACTTGTCCCACTCCTGATTGAGTGATTTGATTAGTTAAAATCAAATAACTTCCTATACATATACACATGAGTGTATAGAAAACTTTTGGAAACCTCAAGTATATTTTTCAGGGGGGAAACTATATTTTGAATGATTAAAAGATTAATATGTATAGTTCTCCTTCCACACAATTAACAATCTCCACACAACTGCCTATTATAGGCTAATATGCATTTTAAGCAGCTAATTGGGTGAGGATGTTGTTCTTTGTACAGACATTAGAATACTGTGCTGCCAAACAGGAAATCTGAGTTTAAAAACAATCTTAGAACTTCCATTTCTATGAGCTAGGGAAATCTGTTAGAAGTGCTACAAAGGTGGCACACTTTTTAGGATCATGACAGGAGCTGCATTACTCTGACTGCACTTCTTTGATGTGATTTTCAGCGGTGCTGAGAATTTCCAGCTCCCATCTACCTTAAATGGAGTCCTAAGTGCTCAGCGATTCTAAAAGTCAAGCCCCTTTTTATGGGATGTGGGTAGTTTTAGTTGAATATATATATTATTATTTTTTGCATAATTGTACATCTACATTTGGGAGGCAAATAATCAAGTTTCTTTAATTTGTAGTTAAGTTAGTTTAGTTTTTAGATATATTTAGATATCAAGTTTATCACTAAAGCCTCCATTACGAACTACTCTAATCTTATCTCCTGGCATAGTAAATGGAATTTAACTAAATGCAAAGATAGACATTGACACCTTGTTTCCACTTTGAACACAATAAGGAAGGGAACACTTACCCCGGTCTGATTCTAAATCTAGAGTGAACAAGTTTTGTATTTCCATTCCAGTTTTTACTTCCTCGCAACCCTTTCTCCCCACCTGGCCCAACTCCCAGAGAATGAAGAAGGTCTATGTCTCTTGCTCAGTAGACAATTCCAACAGCTGAACCAAAACAGGGTGCAGCAATGGACAGATGTAAGCGGAACAGAGTCCTTACAGAACCACTGCCAGCTAATGGAAAATCCTTTTTTATATCAAGTGTCATGGCTCTTGAAGCAACTCAGAATGGAAACAAGTACACTGGTTTAATTCTAGCTTTTAGTAAAGATTACCCCATACTATATGAGTGAGAGACTAATGGATCAAACACGCTAGTATTAAATACAAGTTCAAAATGCTCATTAACATTTGTCTCTAGAATGCCAAATGCAAATCTACACTTTTCCATAGGACACAGATATCTGTCATAGTGTAACAGGGTAAAGCACTGTAAATACAACATGCATTACAAACTGCCTCAAAACTCATTTCTCACAAAAAAAATTCCCAGATTCAGATATTCAAGCAGCCATTTACTATTTTCTTTGATTATGCTTCCTAATTTCATATTCTGGATATGAAAATAATCCAGCAAACTAGTATACTTAATATACAATTTATAATGATTATATAATATTTTAAACAAGAACTTACCACAGTGGGGTTACCACTGCTTATCAACTGGCTGACTTCATGGAAAATGCTCTTGCAGTCAATCGATTTGTCTAATGATCCTCGTTTCACTATTACTGCTACTGCTAATAGAATCTGCTCCCGAACATACTTTTGAAGGCTGTAAACATAATACAAATATTAAGTTCTTGCCATTAAGCTGAACAGCACAAGGCTTCTGTAAAACAGAATTTTAAATCTGGGTTATTTTTTCAAGAACACAATGAAAGCTTAAATGAAAACTGACAATTCTACAGATGTCAAGAGCCATCCATTCAGGAATTAGAAGTGTCACTACCATTAAATGTTTCTACCTGTTAGCCTAGGAAGATTAAACAAAGGTAAATCATGGTTTATGTAGGAATTTATTTTTGGAAGTACTTCCATTCATACTTACTTAGGTCTTTGTAAGACATAGGTTAAAAGGAATGTTCGCAGTGACTCGATGCTACTTTTTTCCAAGAGAATCCATTCTCGCACAACTGCTTCCATTATTGCTGTGGCAGCTTGAAAAAGGACATAGTCCACTTTACTAGTTTCTGTTAAGACCAAAGACATTATTCAATTATCACCTGCTGTTTTCACTGCCCATGCTGGTTAAAATGAAAAAATATTTTTCATTCAAAAAATATAGTCAGCTGCAGTTTTGTTAACTGGTTTTGCTATTTGAGGGGTTAGTTCCTCTCACATGTGACAAGGAGATAAAATGCCAGAATTATCACATTATCATATATTATTATGAATGGCATGAGGAGTTGGGAGGAGATGGAGACTGGGATCAGAAGCCTAAGGAGTGGAGACTGACTGGCTAGGCAAAGAAAATAGGATTGGGATGAGGAACCGGGGGGGGGGAAGAGGAAAGGAAGACGACGACAAGACTGGTCACTGACTAACACATAGCATATGTCCATGTTATTAAAGATTGTATCATAATGCCTATGCACAAGGAACAGGAATTAATGGTACACAGTCAGCCTTAATTCTTTCATCTTCTAACTTCTGGATGCTTGATTTTGCAACCTTAATGTTATTTTAATGTAATTTGTGGGTGCATAATAGATGTCACTGTTTTTTAGGATTTTATAACCTACGTTTATAAGCATCCCCTTCCTTAAACCTATTCAGGTGTTTGCAGATAACTTTAAAAAAAGATTTGAAAACATCAACTCCTGACTTTTGAATTTCTACTTTTTTTTTTATTTGGGTGGCATTGTGAAAAAAAGCATAGAAGGAGCAGTATGCAGGGGAGTGGCTACAGAGCAGAAAGGGCAGAAATGGGCAGGGTAAGATGATAAAGAGCTGTACCTGGCATTCGGCTGTGGTGGCAAATGCTAGCTGGCAGGGCAAGAAATGTTGGGAGACACTAAGCACCCCTGTACTCTTACACTACAAACTACTGTAATAATCTTTGTACAAAATATGCCTTGTGAGATATCATTTGAAAACTAGTCACTCACTGACCATTAATATTCTTTGAGATGTATGTATGCATTCAGTGTGTATTAATAGTTATGAATTTATGCTGGAATTAGTGAGAGGGAGAGAGAAACCAGGTATGTTGGGGGACTTGAACAGGTTTATCTTAAACAAAGGAATGTGTGATTACTCAATTTACATATAAGCAGTAAACAGACCCATCAAGCTAACAAGGAGTGGAGGCAAACTTCATACTAACAAATGGGTGGAGAAGACAGGAGGTGTCTACACCCTGCAGCTTGGTCTGGGTTTCACTTTTCAGAAGAATCCATTTCACAGGTTTACTTGTCTGTAAAAAACTGGGGGGGGGGGGGCGGCGCTGAACCTCAAGTGATAAGCAACTGAATCCACTGATTGCACACAATATTACTGTATTATAAAAGTGTAGAGAGTAAGGTCTCCTCTGAAAACAAATGACATGCTAGTGATCAATACATTTATTTCACAACGATATTAACACTATGTAAGGAATTATGGATACTCATTGATATTAGGCTGTACAGCGGGAGCGGGGGGAGGCAAACTATGGCCCGCGGGCCACATCTGGCCCGTCAGGCCTTTTAATTTGGCCCTCAAACTCCCGCCAGGGAGCGGGGTCGGGGGCTTGCCCCACTCCGTGCTCCAGCCAGGGAGTGGGATTGGGGGTTTTCCGCGCAGCTCCCGGAAGTAGCAGCATGTCTCCCCTCTGGCTCCTATGCATAGGGGCAGCCAGGGCCGGGGACACCACACGTAGCCCCCACCCCAAGCGCTGTCCCCCACAGCTCCCATTGGTCGGGAACCTCCAACACCCTGAACTCCTCATTTCTGGCCCCACCCCAGAGCCCTCATCCCCTCCCACACCCCAATCCCCAATTTCGCGAGCATTCATGGCCTGCCATACAATTTCTATACCCAGATGTGGCCCTCGGGCGAAAAAATTTGCCCGCCCCTACTGTACAGTCTGGCCAGACAGGAGGGAATGGCACAGCTATCTACCAGTCTCCTATGTAAATTAAGCATGGTGGAATCAAACAATGGAAGCCCCAACCGGGGGAGGGGAGCACACAGGAAGGGAAGAATAGAATGAAGTCATGAAGGCTAACGGCATTTTGGGCTGTATAAGTAGGGGCATTGCCAGCAGATTGAGGGACGTGATCATTCCCCTCTATTCAACATTGGTGAGGCCTTATCTGGAGTACTGTGCCAATTTTGGGCCCCACACTACAAGAAGGATGTGGAAAAATTGGAAAGAGTCCAGCGGAGGGCAACAAAAATGATTAGGGGGCTGGAGCACATGATTTATGAGGAGAGGCTGAGAGAACTGGGATTGTTTAGTCTCCAGAAGAGAAGAATGAGGGGGGATTTGATAGCTGCTTTCAACTACCTGAAAGGGGGTTCCAAAGAGGATGGATCTAGACTGTTCTCAGTGGTACCAGATGACAGAACAAGGAATAACGGTCTCAAGTTGCAGTGGGGGAGGTTTAGGTTGGATATTAGAAAAAACTTTTTCACTAGGAGGATGGTGAAGCACTGGAATGGGTTACCTAGGGAGGTGGTGGAATCTCCTTCCTTCGAGGTTTTTAAGGTCAGGCTTGACAAAGCCCTGGCTGGGATGATTTAGTTGGGAATTGGTCCTGCTTTGAGCAGGGAGTAGGACTAGATGACCTCCTGAGGTCCCTTCCAACCCTGATATTCTACGATTCTATGATCCTGCCTCTTGAAACAAGGTCATTGAACTTTGGAAGATACAAGTAAAGACAGAAGCCAGCTTTGGCATCCATCACTAGACAGACACAAGAGGCCAGAGTTCCTGCAAGCTAAGAAAGATGAGTCCTTCCACCAAGGGGGAGCGCTGCTCAAGTCTCAAACTGAATATAGGCGAGAAACGTGCTTAGGCAAAGACGACAAGGGAAGCCAGCACCTTGTACTTTTGTGGAAGGTCCTGAATGAGAAGAAAGTCAGCCATGACTGGAAAGAAAAATGACTGGTGAGAGAAACCATCTCAAACAAAGTCTGTATCTTGCTAGAGTTAAGTTTTAGACTTTTAGAAGCATGTTTTGTTTTACTTGTAACTTTGTATCTTCATTCCTTATACTTGAATTCATTTACCTCTATGTATAATTTGTCAATACATTTCTTTTTACCATAAACGAACTCAGTTCTGTATTTAAAAACGGAAGGGTTTATTACCCCCAGTTAAGTTAATAAGCTGTGATGTGTTCCTGAGTTTGTACAGGAACAAATGAACCATATTATTTCTCTGAACTGCCCAGGAGAGGGCTGGACATTGTAGAACACACAGTTTTGGGAAAATTCGGGACAGGAAGTGTATTGTGGTCACCCTGCAAGTAGTAACCAAGGCTGGTGGAAGCCAGAGTGGGACTGTAAACAGGCTGCTGGGGTAAGAGATGCTAAACCAGGGCTGTCTAGCACACAGACACTCCGGGTGTTACCTGCAGGCTGGCTGTGAGTGACCTAAGTTGGAAGCTACAACAGTAAAGCATACAGGACAGACAATGACACAACCCCTCACTTGTCCAGACTGCACCCCCACCAGAATGTGACATGCTGGCTTCTCTTAAGCATCACCACTTACTTGTTGAAAGGGAATGCAGGTGGCTATGAAAAGAGACTTACAAATATTTTTAAAAGAGCCCACAATATTCATGTTTCCTTTATATATGACAAAGGCCTTCTCTATATTCAAAGTTGCACCGATTTAGCTAGAATCTGTTATTAAATTGATTCAAAACTGGCAGAAAACCTTAAGTGGATACTTAAATAGATTTAAACCTGGCTTATATCAATGTAGCTTAGTTTGGAAAAATAGTATGTGATCATGTAATTAAAAACATCATAACACATACATACTGGGAGGCTGAATTAAGGTGACATCAGCTACCTTAATACTGATATTTCCTAATTTGAATGCTTGACTTTGCAACCTTGACATTTTTAAATGTAATTTCCTAATTTAAAAAAAAACTTGAAAAATTAAATTTTATCATGTCAAATCATATTGAATCCTTACTTGAGCTAACTAAGCTAACCCTCGTCAGCAGGGTTGGGACCACTTGAGCTAACTGAATAACTAGTGGGAATAGTAGGTTGTTATTCTATATGTGGACCAGCCACTAGAGAGAGATAAGAAATGCACTTTGCCAGTGGGTTTCAGAGTTTTTTCCTGACATAAGAACGGCCATACTTGGTCAGACCAATGTACCACTTAGCCCAGTATCCTGTCTTCTGACAGTAACCAATGCCAGATACTTCAAAGGGAATTAACAGAACAGGGCAATCATCAAGTGATCCATCCCATCGTCCAGTAGCAGCATCTGGCAGTCAGAGGCCTAGGGTCACCCAGAGCATGGGGCTGCATCCCTGACCATCTCGTCTAATGGCCATTAATAGACCTGCCCTTCATGAACTTATCAGCAGTGGAATGGAAAGATTCAGGACACCTAGGTTTTATTCCAAGTTTTGGAAAGGAGTGCTCTCTAGTGGTTAAAGACTGTTCTTATCCTGTTGTCCCAACCTGTCCCCCTCTCCTCCTATTCATCACCATCCACCCTGTCTTCTACCCCCTTACCCTTCCACTCCAACACAATCCTCCCCAACTCATCTCCTGGCTGCTGCTTTCCTCCCCCTTTGAGCTTATCCTTCTACCCCCTTGTTCCTGTCTCCATCCCTCTGCATGCATGTCCCCCCACCATGTCCCAAGTACTGCCCCCTCTCTGGCTCCTCCAACCCCATCTCGCTGTCCCTCATTTCTCATTCCTCTGCATTCAAATCAGCTGCTTTCTCCTTCCCTCCACACTGCCTGGGTGACAGAGGGATCACAGAGCACAGGAAAGAGTCTATCGTCAGTTCCTGTACCCAACATCACAGCAGCCCCAGGGGAAGCAACTGCAAAGAATGTCCTGCTCAGCCCCTGCAATCCTGAGCTGAAGCATGTCCACTCACTCTGTGATGACAGTACGTACGCATGCACACACATGCACATGCACACGCACACCCCCTCTGATCAGCACATAGGAGCTGAGTGGGGATGTTTCGTGCTCAGTAGAGGTAATTTTGCTCCCAAGCTATCTAGTCTCTACTGCTTGAAATTTTTTCAGAGGCTTGTAATCTGCCCAAATGTGATCAGTTTTCCACAGGCATTTCAAAAGATACAGCCCTGACACCAGGGCAACATGAACCTTCCTGCCAAATTCCAAGGCCCTGCTCCAAAGCTTAGAGGCCCCAGAGTTTCTTAACAAAATGGATGGAAGTGGGAGGTTTTAATCACAGTTAAAACAGCATATTTCCCCATAATCTCATTCTCTGAAATGGCATGATCATTTTAGCTGAAACTTATTTTAAAAACTGGCATAGAAAATTTCCACCTGTATGGTTAAAGTCTGGCAAAATCATAAGCAATAGAAAACAGGGTCTTACAATGGAAAGTGACAAGCAACCTTAAGTACAGGTGGCATTACCAGCTCCACATACAAAGTATTCTCAAACTAAAATAAAAGAGAGTGTCCTGGCAAAGGAGTTGCACTTACGTTACTAAATCAGTTTCTAAATCAAATTTAGAAATTCTCCAACAGAAGAAAGTTGTACCAAGGCCTTCGCTAAAGCTGTGAAATTTTGAGGGGGCACTAAACTTTTTTTTTCCCCTTAGCAGACCATTTTAAAAAACACTAGTAGCTCTGCAAACACCACAAAAATTATAGCTAAAAATCAAGGATTTAAGATTACACATATTGTATTGCGTTACTAACTCAGATCTTAAAGAGTTCAATTTAACTTACTTTTTAAATGCTTTGCAGTTCACTAACAAATTTAATATTGTACAATAACAATGAAAGAATATCTAACCTAATGTTCACATTCCCAGATGCAGAAGACTAATATTTTCTATTAGTTGTGAATTTGATGACATGCTAAATCTCTCAAAAAATACACTGAAGACTTACCCAAAATATGCTTGCAAACAGCAAATGGTGATTTTGATTTTCTAAATGATAAGAATATGTGCTCGGCATGCTGGCGTTGTTCATTATTGACCATGGAAGGTGGTGCCTACAAGAAAATAAAGTTTACTTGCATTACTATGCAAAGTAGCGTTCCTACTGCATATGCATTTTATGAGAAATTTTATAAGCTGATAAATATTTGCCTTGGTGAATAATCCAAACAACAGGAATATAAATCTGCTAAGGCAAGGTGCCTCTTATTTGTCTGACAAAGCCTTCCTTATACACAAATACACCTACCGCAGGGTGTAAATATCTTTATGTGCATATTCTAACGGCATGCAGACAATAAATCATTCTAAATGCTTCTACGTTGCTAATAATACTAATACCAAAACACATTTAAGGTAAGGTGAAAGGAAAGGAAGATTAAGGTTCTACTCAATCCTTTTTGCACTGGACTGACAAAGCCCAAACCAAATAATAGCACACACTCTAGTACAGATAAAACCCCACCAACATCACCTAAAACATAATGGACTACTGAAATGTAATCCAAGAGAAATGGGATAAATTACAACTAAATTCACCCAAAAAAAAGTTTTAATCGTGGTACTACATTTTTCTGAAGATTTAAATTTAGATTAGAGATTTTAAATGGTATAGTAATCCTGAAAGGTTGAAGAATGTGTAACCTGATTCTGTTAGGAAATGAAATCATTATTAGTGATATGCTGCCCTCTAGTGTTTAGAGTCAGCATATTACAAAGAGACTAAACTAAATTGGTGCTGAGCACTTATAATCATCCCATACCGGGCTAAACAAAACAGCATGATCAAAATGCTTTGCTGTTTACATGTGATCACGTACGGAGATTTACTGGTACCAATAGCCTTACTTGGTTCTAACAAATATTAAAGCTATCCTAACCAATTAATCTAGCAAGAGGAATTTTCTATCAGATATTTCAATTCAAGGTTCTATTCCTTTAGGATGACATGCCATGGCATATTTTCATACCTACATTATAATATTTTCTTGTCATTTTATTACATCCATATTTGTAGAAATTACAGACTGCAGACATTTCTAGGGTATTTTTTTCCCTTTTAAAATCTCAGTAGAAAAAATATTAGTACTTAAATATTTATTTTTTGTTACAAGCAGGAGTAGCACCTTAAAATTAAATCTGAATCTGCTTACTAAAATATCTATTGGAGTAGGTATCAGCTTTTCTAACTGAAAACTCAAACCCAAATCAATAACTATCCTCCCTCCAAAAAAATTAGATGTTTATAAATCATCAAAATTACTTCTCAAACTGATCTCAGCCACTTGGGATTTATCTCAGCTAGTGCATGGCACCCTTTTGGGGAAAACATTATTGAAAAAGTTAAGGGTAAAGTTCTTAACTCCAGGTTGGCATGAACTAAACCAGGGGTCTCAAACACGCAGCCCGGGGGCCGCATGCGGCCCGCAGGGTTGTTTCTGCGGCCTGCAAGCTCCTCGCGCCCCCTCCCCCTCCCAGCATTTACCTAGAGCGGCTCCAGCCCGACTCCCTGCCTGCCCTGCCCCCTGCCGCTCCGGGAAGCAGCTGGAATGTGGGAAAGGGGGGGGCACAGGGCTCTGTGTGTTGCTCTTGCTTCAGGCAGCACCCCCAGCAGCTCCCATTGGCCGCAGCTCCCCATTCCCGGCCAATGGGACCTCCTGGGGGCGCTGCCTGAAGCAAGAGCAACACACAGAGCCCTGTGTCCCCCCTTCCCCACGTTCCGGCAGCTTCCCGGAGCGGTGCGGGGACAGGCAGTCGGGCGGCCTGCCCTGCCCCCGGTGCGTGTCGGGCCGGAGCCCGCCCCCCGAGCCCCTCCTGCAGCCCAACCCCCTGCTGTACCCCACACCCCTCCTGCACCCCACACCACAACTCCCTGCCCTGAGCCCCACACCCCTCCTGCCCTCCCTGGGGGCAGGAAGGGGGCAGAGTTGGGGTGGGGATTTCAGGGAAGGGGTTGGAATGGGGGCAGGGCCTCATGGAAGGAGTGGAGTGGGAGCGGGGCCAAGGGTGGCGGGGGGAGGTGTCAGTAATGCGGCTCTCGGCCAATGTACTAGTCCTCATGTGGCCCTCGTGGTCATTTGAGTTTGAGACCCCTGAACTAAACTGATGCATCTAAAAATGAAGTGCACACATGCAGCAAGACTAGGGCTCTGTTAAAGGTAGAGGGTTTGCATGAAGTCCGAGAAGCTGGGTGGCTTGAGGCACCATGCTGTGGTCATGCAGCAGAGGTTATTCACCTTGTAGTAACTGGAGTTCTTCTAGATGCATTGTCCCTATGCACTAGTTCACTTCAAGTTGTGCATACACTTGAGATCAAAGAATTCTTCCTAGCAATGTCCACTTACTCTGTGCAAGTGTTCTTACTCTCCTTGTGCTCCACACTGAGTGTACAGGGGGGCTGCACTGGACCATGCCATCTCAGCTCCTTCATCACCAAAAGTCCTGAGACTGGGATCAGGAGGAAAGAGGATAGTCAGCGCACTAAAAATAGTGACAACACACCTCGAAGAATCTATCTCCCCTTGTAAGTATTCTCACACTTGCTTCTTATCAAAGTGTCTGTACTTGGCTACCTTGATTATCACTTCAAAAGTTTTTTTTCTCTTACTTAATTGGCCTCTCAGAGTTGGTAAGACAACTCCCACCTGTTCATGCTCTCTGTATGTGTGTATATATATCTCCTCGATATGTTTCACTCAATATGCATCCGAAGAAGTGGGTTGTAGCCCACGAAAGCTTATGCTCTAATAAATTTGTTAGTCTCTAAGGTGCCACAAGTACTCCTGTTCTTTTTGCAGTTACTACAAGGTAACCTCTCCTTCTTCAAGTGGTTGTCCCTATTCATAGCACACTTCAGGTGATTCTCAGGCAGTGACCCCGCTTATGGAGGTGGGTGCCCAGAGCATTGCCCAAGTGCTGATTGAAGGACTGCTCTCTGCCTAGGGAGGCATCTAAGGCAGCTGCCTGTACCAAAGCATAGTGGGCTTTGTGAAGACATGGACCGAGCCCAATGTCACCCCCTGCAGATGTCAATGATTGGAACATTCTTGCAAGATGCTATCAAGGTGGCCTGGGTTCTTGTTCTCGTTGAGCGTGCTCTCATGCTGCCCTCGAGAGACCTTGTTCACCTCATGGCAGAGTATTATGCAGCCAGAGATCCATTTTGACCTTCGCGGAGCAGAAATCGCCTCCGCTTTCTTTCCACAAATGAGACAGCTTTGATGACTTCCAAAGCAGCCTAGTCCTTTGAAGGTAAATGGCCAGGGTCCTACACACATTCAAGGTGCATAATCTCACCTCTTCCCTGTTGACACATGGCTTAGGCTAGGACACAGGTAAGTTAATGCTCTGAAAGTCCAATACCACCTTAGGGAGGAACTTTGAGTGCAACCTCAGACAACTTGTCCTTCTGGAAGATCGAGGCGAGGAGGGGCGTCCACCATAAGCGCCCCCTAACGAGATCATGACCAGAAACTCCACCTTCACGGAAAGGTGCAGAAGGGAGGATGATGACAATAGTTCGAATGGCGCCCCATAAGAGCCAGTAAGACAAGATGAAGTCCCAAGCCAGTGCAGGCGTCATCACTGGTGGAAAACCCTCACTATTCCCCCTCAGAAACCAGAACATAACCTAGTGCGAAAAGATAGTATGGCTGTCCACTAAGGAATGAAATGTGCTGACAACAGCTAACAGCACCCTAAGAGTTAAGGGATAATCCTGTGGACTTCAGGGATTGCAGGAAATCCACCACATCAGTGGATCTCCGTCAGCAACGGGGAAACTCCCCACTGGTCATGCCAGACTTTGAGATGTAGCACTTCCTGGTGGAGTTTTTCCTGCTACTACTCCATAGGGCCTGCATGCTTGCCAAGTAACAGCTCGCTAGATCTAACACCCATCCAAATACCATGCTGTCATAAGGATGGGTCAAGATGGGTAGTCTTTCCTCTTGTCCTGGGTCAGGGGATCCCATACAAGGAGGCGGCTGACTGGAGGTCAGGCCAACAGCTGAAGCATCACGGAGTACCAAAAATGTCACAGCCATCATGGAGCTATGAGAATGATCTATACCTTGTCCTGCTTGATCTTCCACAGGACCCTCAGTAGCGGGAGACGGCAAAGGGGTACTCTTACCATTCTCAGGTTGATGTACAGGGGGGTTCTTCCTACTCAGAATCCAACTATGTTCTCAAAGACTTGTCCACGAGGAACTTGTTAAGGCTGATCTCCGGCAATTTCTTTGTCCTTCAAGGAAATAAACTGCAAATACTGCATCTGGATGGAATATGGGTTTCTCCCAGGCAGTAAAACAGGAGTCATGGTCCTCATTTACCATGAAGCAGTGCAGACAGACTACACAGTTCTTAATACTGGGGCTCTTTGTCATGCTGTCCCTTCCCCACTGGATGAAACAAATGGGGTGGGTAGATGAAGAAATGCACCACCAAAAGTGGGGGGCTGGGGGGATCAGTGGAGGAAGCACCCTTAAGAGCAACGAAAAGCAAGCCTAACTGAACTGAACAGAAATAGCTCTCTCTAACTATCTACAGGTAAACTTCAGGAGAGCACAGCAAATACTGGGGCTCCATCTCGGACCACAAGCAGTGAGAAAGAACTTAGATGGTGGCAGTCCGGCACAATCCCTTGTATCCTCCGTATGGTGCACAAGAAGAGCAAAGGCGGATGCGCAGACCAAGTGGATGCTGCTAGTAAGAAGTCTTCGGTCTCAGGTGCAAGCACACCTGAAGTGCACTACACATAAGGACAAGCTCTCGAAAAACCCGAGCTACACCCATGCACTGTGAGTTTGAGCCCTACCCTTGGCAGCTTTCAAATAACGAGCTAGACATGTTCTTCGCTCTCTGCCTGCATTCTACAGGGAATTTTTTGGGAAGTCTTGCTCTGAGACCAGGGATTTGGGAGGGTACAGCATGATGGCTCTGCCCCTTTGCCAACCTTTTCCCCTTAGGGCTGCTCTGGCACAGTTATTGAGGGGTCAGCACATCCTTAGATATTGACCCTTATTAGTACCAGGGATCACTCAAAATGTTACGT